ACTCTTTCTGCAGTTACCTGGTTGCTTCTCCCCATGTGCTCTGGGCTTTGAGGTAGGAGCCCAGCCTGATCACCTAGGCCGAGGCGCATTCAGGTGGTTTCCCTAGTGTGCGCTCCAAGGCAGGAGGTGAGAGCCGTGGCTGACTAGCCGGATTTTTGTCTTTTTCATTTAGGCCTGCTTGTTGCTGGGATTTAGGGAACAGGAGGCCTTTGACACTCTGTCTATAGAGGTAGAATGGGTCTGTGTGTATTGAGGCCACTCTCTTTCTATAATCCTAATTTTCCTCTTTCTTCCTTCTTCTTATGTGTTCTTAAAACTTTTTCTATCAAAGTCGTTCCTATTAAGCAAAATTCTTAGAAACCATATTGCTGGTTAAGCTTTTTCTTGAGTTTCTTGGTGTGGTTTGTCCTTACGTCTGGTCCTGGGCACTGCATCCCTCCCCAGCACCTTTGACGACAGAGCATAAGATTATCACCAAAATGGGCAATGCACCGGGAATTCCCAAAGAGTCCCCCCTGGGAGGTATGCTAAATGATTGCGACCAGTTCAAACTGGAGGGACTAAAACAAAAGAAACTGGTCTACTAGTGTAACACCATCTGGCCAATGTACCAACGAGGTGATCAGAAAAAATGGCCAGAGAATGGGTCTCTGAACTATACCACCATTTTCCAGTTAGGCCTCGTTTGTAAATGAGAACCGGAAGTGGGGAGTAATTCCCTCTACACAGTCTTTCACGAAACTGTATCCGGATCCAAAGCTAGCTGATACCTGTAAAATATCTGTGTCAGCTGCGGTGAAGCCTAAAAATGAAGATATTTTAAATGATCCTGCTTATCAACAGCCACCCAGGTCTCCAGCTGCTGTCCCTGAACTGGTACAGGCACCAAACTCCTGGAACAAGCAGGGGACATTCCTTTGTCTCCCTCACCATTGCCAGAGCCTACAGCTCTGCTGGACCCTACAGCCTCCCCCCAATATCCATCATCATCTCTGTATCCACCACTACCTAAACCGACACTAGAAGCAACACGAAATATCAAGCTACCACTGGACAGTACCTCTTAAGAGATGTCTCAGATGGGACCAGGGGAACTTTATGGGTTCATGTCCCGTTTCCCATGGCTGATCTGGGAATTTGTAAAGGTACATATGGCAATTTTTTCTGAGAATCCTGATAGGTTTCCCAAGGAATCTGTGTGCCTAAGTCTCTCTTATTCCCTGACATGGCAGGATGTGATTGTGGTTTTGACTCATTGTTGCGCCCCTGGTGAAAAAGAATCTTAAAAAGAGCTAGAGAATATGCCGATGGACGGTTCACTCCTCATCCTGGACGTGACATCTGTGGGACCAGAGAGGAAGCAGTGCTGAGAGTCCTCCCTGGCTGGGGTTATAAGGATAATGAAGACAGGGCTAAAATGGAACATTTCATAACTTGTATAGCAGAAGGTATGAAGAGATGTGTCCTAAAGCCTATAAACTGTGGAAAGATAAACGAGACTTCACAGGGAAGGGATAAAAATCCCACCATGTTCTTGGCCAGCTGACAGAGGCACTTGCCAAATACACTAACACTGGCCCAGAGTAGCTGAAGGGAAGTCCTTACTGGCAATGAGGTCTGTTGCCCAGTCAGCTTCACACATCCGCAGGAAGTTGCTGAAGAGTCAGACTGGGCCCCAAACCCCATTAGCCCTATTGGTTGAGGAAGCTTACAGGGTTTTTAACAACTGAGACAGGGCAGAGGATGGCAAAGTAGGCAGATAACTGGCTAAACCCACTCAGCTCTTGGCAGGAGGCTGAAGATGGCAGGTTGTCAACCTCTGGAAGGAGACCCGTGCGCCTTCTGCAGCAGCAAGGACACTGGGAAAATGATCTAAAGCTAAGCGAGATCCTCAACAGGACGACCCTAGCCAGGTTCCCCTGATGGCCAACCTGGCCGAAGGAACCACCGGCTGACGGGGCCTGAGACCCTCATGGCTCCAGTGCTGGCCTCCACCACTGCCGTCCTGGACGATGGCCTCGGGTCACCTTGGAAATGACAGGGAGGAAAACAGAATTTCTTGTAGACACTGGAGCCGCCGCCTCTGTCCTGACTCACCCCTTGGCCCCTCTCCCAACTGGACTGCATGAAGATGGGGATAGATGGAAAATCGCAGGTGACACAATTTACTTTTCCTGTCTCCTGTGAAACTGGCAGCGCTCAACACATTCATCTTTCTAAGTACCTGAACCCCCCAATCCTTTATTAGGAACAGATTTGCTTCGTAAATTGGGAGCAACCATCTCTGTGACCCAAGATAAAATGCAGGTGTTGGTGGGTCCCAGCCAGGGCCTTCACCTTGTCGCCCTAATGCAGAATGCAGAGGCACCGCCCTCCACGGTGCCACAGCCAGGAGAGACTAGGTAGAGCCCCGCATGTGGGATAATGGGGTCTCCAGAGGAGCACTCAGTGTAATCCTATCCAGACCCAACTAAACCCAGGAGGTACATATCCCTGGAAGAGGTAACACCCGCCAAGACCAGAAGCTCTGCCAGGAATACAACCAGTTTTGGAGACGTCTGTACAGTGTGGGCTGATAAGACCTTGTCAGTCTCCCTGTAACACTCCTGTCCTTCCTGATAAAACATCTAATGGAGATTTCCCATTTGGGTGTCTCAGAGCCATTTACAAATCAGTTATTCCTATCCACCCTGTAGTTTCATGCTTTCTTTTGCAAACCTTTACCCCCTGACGGTCAATATTGTCTGCTTAAGAATGACTGAACCCCATCACAAAAAAGGTAGAATGATAACACTTGGAGCGTCTTGCCACAGGGATTCAGGGCCAGCCCTCAGCTATTAGGCAATGCTTTGGTCAGGCAATCAAGGGAGTTTCATCGCAATTGTTGATGACTTGTTAATGGTTAACAGACAAAAGAAGATTCAGATACAAACATTGTGATGACTCTTGAAATTCCCGGCCAAAAGAGGTCATGAGATGTCCCTGAGCAAAGACTGAATCCCTTTACAGAGGACTCGGTATTTGGGGTTCATCCTCACCCTCAGAGCTCGATCCTCAGCCCTGAGAGAAAGCAAGCCATTATCTCCCCAACTGCTCCCCAGACTCGTGAACGGCTACGTGGATTTTGGGGAATGGATGAATTCTGTAGAATTTGGATTGCAAGCAAGGCCATTTTATAAAACTCTAAAAGGGGAAGAAAAAGAGCTGAGACAAAAAATGTCAAAATGCTTTTGTTATCTTAAAATGGGAGCTAAGCCAAGCACCTGCTTTGGTGCTTCCGAGCTTGGAGAAACCTTTTGCTTTATAGGTACAGGAGAAGCAAGGAGATGCCTTGGGAGTCCGAATACAAAAGGCAGGCCCAGACCAAGGCCTGTAGCCGATTTCTCCAAGCAGCTAGATGCGGTGGCCCAAGGCTGCTGAGCTGCTGAGAGTGGTAGCAGCTACTGCTCTCCTGGGAGGGGAAGCCACCAGGCTAATCTTGGGGTAACAGAGGGATGTTTTTTGACTCCTCACCAAGTACAAACAGTCCTTGAAGTAAAGGACCATCATTGGCTTACGGGTGGCCAGTTAACCAAGTACCAGGCATTGCTGCTAGACCCCCTTGACATAACTTTAAAGGTGTGCCAAGTAAACCTGTCAACTTTGCACCTGGTTATAGGGGAGGAATCTGTACACCAATGTACAGCAATAATTGAACAGGTTTACTTTAGCAGACCAGACCTCTGGGGTGAGCCCCTAACAATCCCTGGTGTAGAATGGGTTCGAAGATGGCAGCAGCTTTGTTCACAAGGAATTTGTAAGACGGAATATGCCATAGAGTAAGTTTACAGAATGGTACAGAAACAAAGACCTTCCCAGGATCCACATTAGGATAGAAAACTGAGTCAATAGCCCCGATGACAGCATTATAGTTAGGAAAGGGTAGAAGAGTTAATACTCATATGGATTCCCCATTTTACATGTTAATGTGGCTACATGGAAAGAAAGGGGAATGCTTACCACGAAAAACTCTCCTATGAAATATAAAGAACTGATCCTTGAATTGCGAGAGGCCATCCTAATGGCAGCAGAAGTGGCTGTAATACATGGCAGGCGCCGCTAGAGGGATGCCTCTGCCATGAGTCAAGGAAACAAAGCCCACCAGATGGCCAAGTGGCCCTCTAGATTTAGCTCAGGGACATAGCTGGCCTTCATTATCAGCCCTTCTGACTCCCTAGATCATCCTCAGCATTCTGGGTCAGAACAAAGATTTGATCAACGGAATGGCTATAAACTGGAGCCTAATGCATGGCTGACTAAAAATCACAGGCTCCTCATCCCTGATGCCCAACAATGGAAACTAATTAAGGACCCCCCTTGATGCCACCCATGTGGAAGCTATGCATTATGGGAGTTTGTGCACAAGGTTTATATCAGAAGGGGATTGAGAACAGCAAACTGTATTATATCCTCCTGTGAGCTATCCATAAGAAATAACCCTCAATCTCATCCCATTCCACCTGTCCAATACCAGGACACATATCCTGGTGAGCACTGGCAGATTGACTTTACCCAAATGCCCCCTAAGGCCTGTCTTAAATATCTGTTGGTATTTACGGACACCTTTACTGAATGGGTGGAAGCCTTCCCACCCATCACAGAAAAGGGAGCTGAGCTATGCAAACAATCGCTAAAAGAGACCATCTCCTGATTTTGACTTCCCAGGTCTCTATGCAGAGATTACCCGGGGATGTGCTACAGCTATGGAGATACGATATAAATTACATGCCTCCCGGATTTCCAACCATCAGGAAAGGTAGAAAAGGTAAAGCATGTTCTAAAGGAGATACTGGGAAAGTTATGGCCAAGAAATACATGAGTCCCAGAAAAAGTTGCTTCCATAGCTCCGCTTAGAATTCAAATGATCTGAAAAGTGAGCTAACACGTGGCCCATACTGCAAGGCCTAACTAGTTGGGAACATCTGTTCCAGATTAACCCATATGTTCCTGCATCTCTGCAGGATCTGCTCCCATAGGAGCAAAACTATACCTGGAAGGCCATAGATGATCTGAAATATTTATGCAAGAAGATTACCTCACAAGTAGGTAAGTAACACTGTAGAGAAATTTGGTAATTTCAGCAAGATGAAGCTATGAATGTATGGTCTAACCTTGCTTTATTTTTTCTGTTCCCTTGTCTCCCTTGTGGATGCAACCCCAGGGGCCCCCAAAGCACACATGGCTTGCACAGCTGAGCCAGAGAAGGAACCCCTGAACATACTCCTTCATTTTTGAATGCCACTAAAGGCAGGGGACTTCCTAATTGACGCGTCTCCTCAGGCCGGGACCTCTTTGTCCAGTCTCATTCACGGTTTTAAGCCAGGATTTTGGGCCCTGGCCCAGAGCAGATGGGAAGTGGCAATTCCTGCTGGTCTTGAGGAGAGAGCAGTGCATGGGGCTACTCCTTGTCTCCTTGGACAGGCAAAATTTGCAGCCTTTGAGGAAAAACATTCACTTGAAAGGGCCTCACTGTCTAAGTTAGGGTACTTAGACGGAGTGCTCCTTCAAGAAGATGGAGACAGATGGGCAGCTGCTGAACAAACTAATGAGGCCCTTCCTAAGGGGGTAGAAAAGACCCAACAAATTATGCAAACTTACTTTAAGACTCAGGTATGTGAAAACACATGCATCCTGACTTAACAAGAGTTGCTAACTATTCTGATCCACATGGAATCAGAAATTGCCACGAGACAATGGCCCATCTTGCTTATAGCAGATCTTCAAACTAAATGCTTTTGGGAGACATATGGTCCCCATACCCTACAGAAGTTTTTAGATGGAAAGTATGGTATCAGATATTGTATACTTAAGGCCCAAGTACCCTGGTTAAATCGAACAGAGAGTTATTAGGTGGTACAGTTAGTGTAGGAAGCTTCATCAACACTAGGATTCCTCCAGTAGGAAGCCTTTGGGCCATTTTAACTAAATCTAATACTTGTTGACCCATCCCCCTCTCTAACTGTAAAAATTGCAGAGGATAATGGCTATGTCCCCAGAGCAGGTGGAATTCTGATCTTTCTGAAGTCTGGCTTCTAGTGTCCACTCCAGTAACTAATGTCATCTGGTACACGGGAAAAGGCCAATTTTACAGGGAAGGACACAATAATTCCACTGTAAAACTCTCTGATTTATCCTGTAAGGACACCTCTTTTCCCATCCAGGATGAGAATCTGCTATAACACCAAGGCTGCTGGCTGAGGAAGTTTATCCTCCCCAAACCAGTCCTTTGATAATCTAGATACTGAGGACAAAAATATTTCTAGAAACCAATTTACTCCCACCTCAAGATGTTGCAGCGATAGAAACAGGTTGGCCTGAGGAAACCTTAAAACCTCTTGAAATGGAATTAGAAACATTCTTTTGTCCAGAAATACCGTAAGGTTCAAATATCAGTAAACGTAGGGAAATGTATTTTCAGTCTAATAAAAAAATATGAGACTGCGTGAAGGGGATTTTTTTGGTTGGTTAGGATGTTTATTCCCTTCTGGCATCACTTCTGAATTTTGGATAAAAATGGCCTTTGCATTTTTCTTATTAGCCTTTCCCTTGTGTTTCTCTATTTCATATGGTGAAGTTATGACAGATAGAGATTATCATTGCTTTATCTGCTCTAAGTAGCATACCCGAGTGATAATGATGACAAACGATCAGCCCACTGGCCAGAGTGCAGGCTGAGCCTGTAGGCCCTCTTTAGAGCAGGCAGCTAGAGAATTTTATGCTTCCAAATAGGCAGGGTCTACAATCCCTTCTCAACACTGAAGAAGTTACAGAAGACAGACCGTTAGTCCTCATCTTTCCCTAAGAATAAGGAGGATAAAAATCTCAGGGGGAAATGAACTCGTAGAAGAAACAAGTTGAACTCCATCTTAAGGCTGAGATTCCATTTGGAAACTGTAAAGTTGGAGATGAAAATTCCCAACATATTTTAGGAATGATTAGTCAGCCACCAACCTTATCCTGAGGTAGGGCAAACAAGTTTCCAATAAACGATCTGGCCTCATTATCTGAGGGTAATTATTACCCTGAAAAAGAACAGAACTAATGAAATTCCTTTTGTAAGCTTATCTCACAGAGCGTCAACGATGGAAGGGACTGACTGTACCCTGAAAGCAATAACGCTAATAAGTCAAATCTTCTTGACCACGGGAGCACAACATGATGTCTTAACCACAGGAGATAAACATCATGAAACCGCCCTTCCCTTCCCCCTCATCCCATTTGTGAAATCCGTAGAAGCCTAGCCCAGTGATTCCTGGAGGAGGCCGCCTTCTCTGCTGCTGACTCCCTTGTGCACGAGCTCTCTCCCCAATAAACCTTGACTGTTTCTTACTCTGCTGGGTGCTGGGTCTGTTTCTGTGCCATGGAAGCCAAGCACCTGGCCCACATCTGGTGACAAAGCCAGCCTTCCTCCTCAAACCGGTCTGCAAATCCGACGGACTTTCTCTAAAGAAAATGTCTGACTTAAATTTTTAATTCAAATCAACATGACAATATGTTTTGAGGACTAGTATGAAAACTACCATGAGAAAGATTACTTCTAATCATATAAAAAAGGTTCCTAAAAGCAGGCAAGACTAAAATCATGAAGGATATAATTAATCTATTTTGTAAAAAGTCATAAAAATGAGAATAAATCTATATGCTGTTGGTCATCACTTACTTTGTGAGAATTCAGGATTATGCGCTGCTCAAATTGCAAGTTGTGAAACAAAAAAAAACATGATAAAAAGTGATTCTTTAGTAAATGTGCTCACATGTATGTACTGAACTTTGGATTTTACTTTTGAGAATAATTAAATAAGAATCTTGTATGAAAATACAGAAATAATTCTTTTAATGTCATTAGGCATCAAGATAAACTCCCTAACACATTTAATGAAAGAGACAGCCATATATTGCTAAAAATGAATTTGTCCAACAGCTAGTATTTAATTTTCATTTTTGATTAATAGGAAGTGTAGTAGGGAACACATTTTAAACATTTTATAAGATGAAGTAGTCTCTGGATTGATTGTATATGGAATAATATCTCATTATATTATTTGACAAAATAGATTTTAACTACTTATGAATAATGCATATTGCATTCAAAAGAAATCACATAAAATTTTTATCCGTGGGTTTTATCCAGGAAAACCTGTCAATTTTTGTAGTCCCTGAAAATGTTTCACTTGTGTTTAAGAGAATTAGTGTTGCAAATCTATGCTGGTTTGGCTGTTCAAAAATTTTTTTATTTCTTTTTTTTTTGTCTCCTGAGGTTGAATATTGAGAATAGCTGAAAAGGATTGCTTGTTTAATATGGGGAGAGGGGAGAGCCATTTTTATTTTTTATTGTTCTTTTTACAATGCAGTCTTTTCTTCATTCTCCCCAGACCCATCAAAAGCAATGTGCTCTTTGGCAAGACTTGAGGGGTGCAGGGATGATGTCCGTACCAGAAAATTGCCAACACACCCATTGCCCACGCTCTATATTTGATTAGACCACGTCCAGGCGGGCCCGTGCGGAGGTTGTGGCTTTCCCTGAGCTGAAGAATGGATTTGACGGGGAGGAACAGAAGCCCTGAGGTGGGCTTACTGTGCCTTCATTCACTGATAAGACCACCTCCCCCCATCCCCAGCTGGTGGTTTTAATTGTCCTTTTTGCCTGGTGCCCGGGAGAGCGCACTACAGTCAGGTGAGGAATGGGGAGGAGACACCTTTTTAAAAAAATTTATTTTTATTTAAGTACAGTTGATATACAATATTATATTGGGTTCAAGTGTACATCATCGTGATTCAACAGTTACCTACATTATTAAATGCTCACCCCAACTAGTGCAGTTACCATCAACATAGAAAGATATTACAGAACTGTTGACTGTATTCCCTATGTTGTACTGTCATCCCCATGGCTAGATTTTGGGCCTCTTTATCTCCACCTATTTCATCCACCCCACCCCAGCCCTCCCCCGCCGAAATGCTGTTCTTTTGTAACCTGGATGAAGGGCAGTTAAATGAGGAGGAGAGTGGGAAGAGGACCTGGATGATGCCAGCCCAGAGCATGAGTGGCATTGGGGACCTGCAATGGTTGACACTGGTTACATCTGCATCCCCCTTGGAGGGTCCTCAGGTGTGGACTCTCTCCACCATCTACACACACGTCACAAGTTCACATTCACCATATGCTCCCAAATGCACTCTCACACCTTTACACATACACACACATACACCTGAACATAACAGAGGTCGTGCCCTTTCTGCTCGGACCTGAGCAATGGGTGTGGGGTGCTGGACGGAGCAGAAGCAGAATGTTCTAGGCTGGTCCTGTCCACTCTGGTAGCCACAAGTCACACATGGCTGTTGGGCACTTGCAAAGGTGAAAAGTCCAAAGAGACATGTGCTGTAAGGATAAGATACATACACATCAACCCTCACAAACTCACACCCACTGCAACGTGTGCTCACAACCATACACACTCCTGCTGAATCACACATTCAGTTACACACAGTCACACACTCCTAAGCTGCACACATTTCAGAGGTTGGTGGAAGGCCCAGAGATGTATTTTAATTGCTTTAGGTCACACAGCACAATTGCATGCTCCAGTTTTGAGACCACTGCTCTAGGACATCTGTGGCTTCCCTCACCCCAGCTGCAAGTCTTGCTTTCCTTGTAGGAGGCTGGGAGTGGTCAGACTTTTTGCTGAGATGTTCTGCGCCTTGCTCTTCTGAGATGGCAAGTCCACACCAATCCCCTGGCTGCCCGGGGCTGTATTGGCAAATCTCTGCCTGCCCTGAGAATCAGCAGTGTTTCTCTCTGAGGCAGTGCTGTCAAGGAGACCTGTCCTAATAGCATAAAACCCACAGAAATGTACTTAGTTGGTGATTATTTCCAGCCTCATTTGCTGGCTGGCAGCAAACAGGAATCACTGTGGACACTCCCAGACGCACTTGTTGCCTGTGTGGTTCTGCTGGCCCAGTGAGAACTGAAATGGGTTGCCCAAATGGGGATGGTCACCTGGGGATATGGTGCCTGGCCTGCCCCAGTTCTGCCATGTGACCTGGAGCAAATAAGACTCTGGACATCTCATCACCTCTGCAGTGTGCATGGATGTAAGCACAGGGGTATAAATATGTATGTGAGTGTATGAGTGTGAGTGTGTGCAGGCAGACGTGAGTGTGAATGTGTGAGTATGTGTGGGTGTGAGGCTAGTGAGAGGGTTTGAGAGAATATGGCAAGTGTGTATGAGGGTGTGAGGGTGTGTGTGTACACATATAAGGTAAAGAAAGGGGGGGTGAGGCAAAAGGGAATCTCTAAAGGAATTTGAAATGCATCTTAGTTCCCAGTGGTGGGTGAGGACTTGGGAAATTATTCTTCTTTCAGCAGATACCGATTTAGTACATACGACTTACATTGGCTGCTGGGTTCAGTTGGAGTTTAATGATAAACAAGACAACAGGTCCTTTATATTTAAAGACATGGATAAGTTAAAAGTAAAGGGACTCCTGAAATGGCCAAATCAAATGCTAAGCCTGAGTAGGTCAGACCATATGTAGTGGACACGCGCAGTTAGTTATCGTGAAGGAGAGGAGCGGTTGGGTGATTTGTTCTCTCCTAGGTTTGCCTGAGAAGAGGGTTGGCCGATAGAGCTTCACCTGTAAGCTAGCTCTTGGGCGGCCTTGCTTTTTGCTTACATCTCTGGAAGCCTTCCAGGTAGGCCAGAGCAAGAAAATGGGTCAATACATCGCACAAAGCTGAGTCAGAGCAGAACACAAGCTGGGAGCAACTGGCTGCGAGAAAACTCACCTGGGCCGTCTTGGATTTGGGTTGTTGGGGCTGTATCTGAACCAGGCACTCATGACTTTGTCTCCCTAATGCACCAACTAAAACATTTAGCTGGTTGGTCTGTCATATCTTAAACATTTGATTGATGTTCTGGATTATACTCAGATGTTGGGTGTTCTGGAATTTTATCAGGTGCATATTGATACGTTCACATCAGAGATTCTCAAATAACTCCATGAAGAATATTAATTCCACACAATATTAAGAGATGTTCTGTGTGTCTGAATTTCAAAAGCAAGGTTCTGAAATGCTAGGTTCATCAAAGTGAACAGGTTTTTTTGTTTTGAACCTTAATGTGGGCAAATGTGTAATGGGAGTCCTGACACACAAGGTGGGAAATACTGTGGTCCAGAATAGTCCCCAAACTTGTTTGAATAGAAGCTCTTTTTTTCATAGAATACCTGTGTCAGAGTGAATAACCTCCAGTGTGTCACTTAAAGAAAGGTATTTATTTCCTTTCAGGTGAAAGATACACAGAAGCAGGCTGTCCAGGTGACTCCTGTTACATGTCTGCTCTAATATCCTCAGCTCATTACTTACGTCCCGTATGTGGTTCCAGATGGCTGATGTGCCGGCCATCACACTCTTGGTCTAGACAGAAAGCTGGGTGAAGAGCATAAAGTATGTTCCCCCGTGGGGAGTGTCTCCCTTAAGGAGATTTCCAGGGAGTCCCATCCCATGACTTTTATGTGCATCTCACTGGTTACATCTACCTGCAATCGAGGCTGAGAAATGCTGGTTTGCAGTTGGACACATTACTGCCTTGAATGACATCAAGGTTGTGTAACTAAAGAAAAATGGAAGAAAGAAAATTGAGTAAGCAAATGATCTCTACACACACGTCCAGCTGAACAATCCTCAGGCCAGGTTTGGGAAACGTTGCTGTATATTGTTTTTCCGCTTGTCTCCAGTGTTTTCCCTTTCCCACATGCTACATGGCCTTGCCTGTGTGTTCCCCCTCTCTTCATCTCTGCATATGTTTGTCTTTCCCATATGTATGTATAGATATACATATATGTTATTGATTATCCATAGACTATAAAAGACTAATAGAATGCTAGGGCAGGAGAAAGGTTTTGATGTTGTCTAGCTCAGCGGTTCTCAACCTGCATTGTATCTTACAATCACTTGAGGGAACTTGAAAAAAAAAAAATCTATGCCTGAGCCCTACCAGTTGGAATTGTAATCTTTGTGGCTAAAGCCCAGATAGTCAGTCATCTTTTTTTTTCCCCTTCTAAAGCTTCCTGGTTGATTTAAATCTGCAGCCAGGGTTCAAAGCCTCTGGTCTAGACCAACTTCATCATTTTATAGGAAAACTATCTGTGAAATGATTTCTTTCATGTGTGTTCCCCCATTAGACTTCAAAACCTATGAGAGCAGGAATAGTATCTATTCTATAATCACCACTCCCCTCCCCAGTGCTTAGCACAGTGTTGGCAAAAAGCCACATGTACGAATGAATGAGTCAAGTAAAGCCCAGAGAGGAGAGGGTCCTCAGGGGAGGTCACAAAGCAAATACACGTGCAGCAGAACCGGGACTGGAAACTTTGGCTCTCAACCCCCTTTTCAGGGCTCCTGCAGTGATCTCAGATGTCCACAGTCAGGTGGCCAGACCTCGGAACACGCTACTCTAGAACTGACAGATGGGCTCCTGTGTTCCGGTGGTGTGTGCTGTATGCCGCTGTCATGGTGAATCCAGGTTAAGAACTGGATCTATTTCTTCAAGCATCACCAGCCACCCACCATGCCCGGCTTACCATAAATGACTGATGGTAATAGCTAACTGGAGAAAAGAAAAGAAAAGAAAAAGCTCACGCCAATTCAGTCCTTTGGACCACCCTGCCTTCCTTTCAGGGTATCTCTGGCCAAAGGCCGTTTTTCTGTCTCCTACTAAGTCCTAAACCTGGATTCCACATCTTCTCTAGCCAATTGTTTGATTTTAATTACCTGCCTGGTTGAAACATCCTGAATATTAGTTCACAGTACAGTGTTAATGATTGATTAGGTTTGATGAACTATACCTTCTTGGGATCATTGTGTATCGACCAGTGTCCTGACTCAGAAGAAGGAACATTTAATGGCAAAATTTTAAGTATAACAGGGCAAAACTCATGAGGGGAAATTTGGGGTATAAGTGGGGTGGCCTTCCTGAAGGGATATAATCAGAGCAATCAAAGGCAGGCAGCTAGGTGTTCATCTTTGAGGAGGGCATCTGGGAGGCACCCCTGGGGGTCAGATTCTCAAGTCTGCCTTAGTTACAGGTCTAGTTTGAACCTGGAGTTCTCACTCAGGCTTCTCTTGAGTGGTGTAAGAGACCAGCAGCTTCGCTGGGATGCTGTGGGGGTTGGGCTATGGATTCAGACTCATCCCGTTCTGGTCAAGGAGGAAGGGAAGCATATTCAGTGCCTTAGGCAGAGCTCTTAATAAATGTTCACTCTCTTTCTTCTCTCAGCAGGGATTGCTCAGTCAGCAGCCCCAGAGGGAACAATTAGGTTGTTTATCCAAACCTCAGCCACTTTGCTATGTAATTGATTTTTCATTGAGTGTATTTAGGAAATAGTTATTTACATGAATACAGGCACACCAGGGACATGACAGCATTTGATCATAGGAAATGGGAGGGAATCTAGATCAAAGTGTGGAATCTAGCGGGAGGGAGTGTGGGCTGTGGAGACAGACAGCCTAGGCTGAGATTCTGACTCTGCTACTGACTGCGTATTTGGGCACATTATTAACCCTCTCTCTGAGCCTTGGTCTCCTCTTTTGAGAAGAAGGTAAATTTACTCCCTAGAAGGGTTGCTGTATGGATTAAATTAAGCAATGCTTACAACACGCTGACAGCTGGGGCAGCTGCATCCTGTACCCTCAACAGGCTGTTGTCATCATCATCATTATTATTTCTGGCACTGTCCACGCTGGGGAAGTTTCCTGTCCTCTTAGCCTACCAGCCCCTAACCATATCTCAGCGCCTGGCCTAAGTCTCACCTCCTCCCCAAAGCCTTCTCTGACAGTTCCAGTCCTCTCTAGTTACCCTCACCTTCCATAACATTTATGAGATTTAGTTTATAGCACCATATTTTAAGCCTTGGTTCTAAGCAACAGTATTTTCTTTTTCCCTGTGTAGACCAGGGATTGGCAAGTGGCAGCCTGTGGGCTAAATCTGGTCCACTGACTGTTTCCACTGGGCTAAAAATAGTTTTTGCCTTTATAAATGGTTGAAAAAAAAATCAAAAGAGAAAACGTTTGTGAAACATGAAAATGATATGAAATCCCAATATTAGTATTTATAGAGTTCTATCGGAACACAGCCACACCCATCTGTTGGCACTAGCTGCTCTGGGACTATAATGGCACCACTGAGCAGTTGCAACAGAGACTGTATGATCCACAAAGGTGAAAATATTTACCATCTGGCCCTTTACAGGGAAGTTTGCTGAGCCCTAGACTGTACGCTTCCTACAGGCAGGCAGTGTGTGCCATTCTTGCGTGAATTCTCATGGCACATGGCCAGACACTTGACATGTAGCCAATGCTCCATAAATCCTGGGAGTTGCTGATTGCAACAATTCAGGTTCGCCACAGGGGGTCTCTGATCCATCTTCCCTGTGTTCCCCATGTTGGGGTGTGGATAGAAAAATACATCTGTACAGCAGGTCCATGTGTGTGTGATGAGTTGTTTCCCTGGGGTATTTGAGGTCCTTGGGGCAGAGAGACCAGTTCTTGTCTGCCTGTGGTACTTGCATGCCTCTGTAGTGCAAAGAGAAGAAAATGAATGTTAACTGGCACCAGTATGTGCTGGGCACTGTGCTATGTCCTTTGTATGCTTTATCTCCTTTAATGTTCATTCATTTATTCAACAAATATTTGTCAGGTGCCTACCATGGACCAGGCACTGTTCTATGAACTGGAAATGCAGCCAGGAGCAAACTGGACATTTTCTGCTATCGTTGAGGTTACTTTCTATATTGGCATGGGGTAGGCATTCTAAAACAAATAACCACAATATATTGAAGTATATTGTATATTAAATGGGATTAAATGCGACAGGGAAAAATGCAGCAGGAATGGGAGAGAGTATTTGCCAGCTTTTCATTTAGGTTGGGGAGAGTGTTGGGATTCGAAAGAGGAAGGTCAGAAAGGGAACATCCAGTACAAAGGCCCTGAAGCGTGAGGGGACATGACTTGTCCAAAGAACAGCAAGAAGAGCTGTGCGGCTGGAGCAACGGAGGGGGGAGGGGAACGAGGGAAGGAGACCAGTTATGAAAAGCCTCTCATAGCACCGTGAGGGCTGTAGCTTTTACTCTGAGATGGGAAGTCTTTGAAGGGTTTGGAAAACAAGATTGAGGATATCCGATGTTTGTTTTAAAAAAATAGCTGTATGAGGTCCTTGGGCTGGTGTTTCTTGTTCTCATTCTGCAGGTAGGGAATCGGAATTCAGAAAGGCCAGGTGGTGCATGTCTACGCGGCTGGCAAGAGGCAGCAGTGGGGCTTGAACCTAGGCTACACCAGAATCCCTCCACTACCCTTTTGGCCAGCCTGCTGGCATGGAGGAGAGCCTCAGTAACTACTAAGTGAATTCAAAGTAAACGCTGGGGCTTGGGCAGTGGGACGGGCTGGCAGCCCCCCACCGGGCCCCATCTGTTCTGCTCGGGCCTGGTGCTGGGAACAGCTGGAACACCGTCTAGGGGCTGGCCGGTGGGACCCCTCTCCCTTCTTTAAACTTGGTCCAGCTATGGAGCGGTCAAATGACTAACATTAATTGAAGTACGATGGAACAACGTAATTAGCTCCTAATAGTCACATGTTGCCAATTAAACACTTTGATGACTAGTTTACTCTGGAGCTTAATTAGGTGCTTCCAAATACATGTAGCCCTGTGCCGCTACCTGTTGGCTTAGGAGCCAAACCTTTTGTTGGACGTGTCCTCTCTTACTTGGGGAGGGACAGAATGACCAGTTTGGGTAGAGAAGTGAACTCAGATATTGGCATCTCTCAAGGTTATTTCATGGCTCTGTTGCATATTTAAAACTTGGTGGAAATCACTGCTGAGCTCACCTCCTGCCTGTGCTACTTGCATGCCTCTGGCAACAGGAACCATTAGCTAAAGGGTCCCTGAGAGAAGAAGATTGTAATGTGCACTAGGACTTTCCCCTTCCGTGGTAACATGAAGTCCTGTTCTCTGGTCCCAACTGTCTATTGCTTAAGCACAGCTATCCTCTTAATAATTGTGGAATTGGTTTGTTATGAATGAGGGGTCAGAATTTAATGGCACCACAGGAGAGAAGGTTTAAGGCACTTGCAAACTCAGTGTGTGTTAATAACACCAAGAGACTGCTGAGGACACTGGACTGTCAGTGATGGAGAGATGACACCCAGAAGCACTTGGTGCTGGTCGGTGATGTGAGCGCTGTGTGAAGGGCGGCATTTTTCCAAGGAACACTGACAAGTGCAGACATTTCCCATGGATGCTGATTAGCTTGAGAAGGGGGCTTAGAAATCAGATCAGTAAAGGAATGGATGAAAAACACTGAGAATACTTGGTGTGGGGTTTCGGTAGTGCTTGGGACTAAGCACCGGGTAAAGCAGCCATCATTCCATCTGTGAAGACCTGCCATGATCAGAGAGCATGAATGTTTTCCACGTTGCTCCATACGGTAGTGCAAATGTCCAGGGGTGAACAGTACCATCGCCCACATTTTAAACCATCCTACGTTATGGAAGGACAGGTAGGATTAGCTGGGTTTATGCCCCTCACCACTCTTTCTCCCCATCTGAGGAGGAAGTTAGGACCATTTCTTCCTAAATTGCAGGCTGTGGCAGCTTTGAAACATGTCTGCAAAGGTCTTTGACCCTCTCTCATCAAGACGTGGGGTCTGTGTCCTCTCTCCCTGAATCTAGGCTCTGTGACTCCCACGGCAACATAATACAGGGGCAGTGCTAGCTTCTGGACTCAGGCAGTAAGAAACTGGCAACTTCCACTTCCTCTGACTGGCTGCTCTCTCTTGGGACCCAGCCATCACCCCATAAGGAAGCCAGCAGGCCCACGGACACATTTAGGTGAGTCAGCCCACAGCTGCAGCCGAGGTCCGAGCTGACAGCCAGCATCACTACCAGGCACACATGAGAGCCTTCCAGTGATTCTCTGCATGTGGCAGGGATGAACGGTCCCCACCCAGCCCTGCCCAAATGGCACCTTCTGAGAACAAGGGATTGTCGTTTTCCTCCCTGCCTTGGTGAGGGCTTGTCAGATAACTGGAACGCAGGCCAAGGCAGGCTCCCAATCCTCAGAGCCAGTCCTAACTTGAGTGCCAGACTGTTTTGCCCCTACAGTGAGTCAGGTCGGCCTGACCCTGGCTCACCACCTGGCACATAGCAGGGACCCGCAGCATTAGTTAAATGAGTGAGTGACTACTTGCTCCTCATAAATGCTGAACCTTTGCCTGGGTCCTGAGACTGTGCCCAGATCGGTGTTTTTGCTTTTGTTTTCTTAACCTTGATTTTCATGATGGTGTCCATTTTTAAAATACAATCTGAAGTCATCCCAAATATATATAAAAGGACTGAGCGCGGAGCTTTTCCAAGTGAAATGGGGAGATGCTCAGCCCTGTCAGCCTGGCCTCCCCTCCCCACCTTGCAGGGCCCCCGGGGACTTGGTTTCTGTGGATCTCAGGTTTACAGACCAATGTTCTGTTCACCTACATGTCATCTGCCTCTGGTCCTGCTCCTGAGCTCTGTCCCCACCTCTCTTCCTTCCTTTACGTAGTACCAGGAGGTAAAACTGAGCCATCGTAAGTGGTAAGAGAGGCCTTGCGGGCACCTAAGCGCCCTGGCGCTCTTCTGAGGAATAAGGTGCTTGTTCAGGGCAGATGAAAGTGAGCAAATGAAGCAGGCCCTGCTTTGTGGGAGAGAGGCTGGGCTGGCTGTGGTCTGCCTGGCCACAGGGAGGGAAGGGCTGGGTGGGAGGGATTCTCCACACATGGATGATAGTGGCATAGGAAAGGGGGTCTGGAGCATTCACATTTGGGGTGCAGCAGAAACCAGAGCGGCTGTCAGCTCTGGAAAGTTGAGCGCTCTCCAGATCTGGGCGGGACGTGCTTAGGTGAAAGCACAGGCGTGGAATATGAGGCCTGACGGGACAGCAGGGGCATAAGCCACTTTCTCTGGGTCCACTGGACGTGGGAGGCTGACTTGGGCTGAGGCTGAGGTGGGGAAAAGTGGAGGGCAGCTGAGAAATGAGGTCAGAAAGCATGAGGACATCGGAGAGGGGCTGAGTGAGGTAGTCCAGGAATGAGGGGGTGGCCAGGGAAGAGGCACTTGGCAAAGGGCAGAGCTAAGACTCAGGGAAAAGCCGCTGAAAGGGAGCTGATTCCCATTGGAAGGCCCTGAAGGAGAAGCATGTGGGGCGGGTAGGTGGTACTCCCACAAAGGCACACGGCTTCTAGAAGGTTCTGGGAGAACTGCTCAGTTTCCTCCTGAACTACTGCAGTCCTGTGATCCAGACCTACTGGATGCTTACTTCTTCAGAACGTCAGTGTGATGTCATGAGAAGAACACTGCCTAGGAGTCAGGAGGTCTGGCTTCTTGTCGGATTTTGCCACTGGCCAGTCATTTCAGTTTTTCTTATCTGTGAAATGAGAAAGCTGACAGCTGTTGATTGCCAGGTCCTTTCAGTTCTAGACACGTGTGATTCAATCCAATAAACATATGTGGGCCAGGTACAGTGCTGGACGCTGGGGGGATGCGCATGGGCCAGACACCCTTCCTTCAAGGGGCTTACATGATGGTGGGGGAAGTGGGTACCTGGACAGGTGGCTGGGCTGCAGTGTGAGAAGAGATAAAAACACCAATTCCAGTACTAGACTCAGTTCAATGTTAAGGTACAGCAGTAAAGAGGAACAGAAAACCCCAAAAATGGGAGCTGGAAGAGAACCTGATTGATTTGGAGGTCTAAGAAGGCGGTGTGGGATGTATGCTGTCTGTCCTTGGCCCATCCACACCTCGGTCTGCTCCCCATGGCTTGGTGCAAGGCTGGACCCCAGCGCCCTCTCCTCCAGCAATAGGGAAAAGGGCTTTAAGCCATTTCATTTCTTTGAAGCATATATTTATTTTTAAAAAGTATTTATTTTTATTGTAGAAAAATTAGGAAGTTCAAAAACAAATAATTCATGAGGCGGCAGCCAGTTAACACACTGTATATCCTAGATCTCTCTCTCAGCACACACACAATTGTTTTAGACTATTTTGTGTGTTTCCCTTGGTAATAGATTTGAACATCTGTCCTGGTTGATGAACAAAGATCATCATCGACAGCGGACACCCAGGGCTCCGAGATGGCATCAGTTGTATTGGCCAAAGAGAAGAAACTCATGGATGTCAAAATAGGGGAGCCGGTGAGCTAGATACTGATGTGGAATTTCACTCTGAAGGCACAGTTGGAGCATTTCAAAGAGGTATGGCAAGATGTGGGGCAAGTACCACCAAGAAGTATTGCTGTTATTAGGAGTCTGGTGTGAAGAAATGAAACGTTGCTGAGGTCTCGACAGAGCTGGAGGCTTATGTGCTTTATTATCTCCGGTTGACCCTTGAACAGCACAGGGGCTAGGGGCACCCACCCCCTGTGCAATCAAAAATCCAAGTGTAACTTTGGACTTCCACAGAACTTAGCTGCTAATAGCCTACTGTGGACCAGAAGCCTTCCTGATAACATGAACATATTAAAAATTAACACATATCATGTATGTTATATATGTTGGATACTTCATTCTAACAATAAAGTAAGCTGGAGAAAAGAAAGTGTTCTTTTCGAATTGTCACAAATCTCAAAACATTTCCCAATGTAGTTATTGAAAAAGAATCTGCACATAAGTGGACTCATGCAGTTCAAACCAGTATCATTCAAGGGTCAGCAGAACTGCTTTTCTTATAAGGAGCTCAAACATGAGTGGACACACAAACACCTG